AAAAAAACCTCTGTTAATTTGACAGTGTAGGTGCATTTATGTTTCTCTTAAGTTGTTACAAAGATTGAACAGTTGAAGGATACTAATGACACATTCTGCAATCTGATCAACAGAGATGAAATATCGGGAGTGAACATGCCTCTTGTGAATATACACGCACAAAATCTCCATGCATCTCGTGCAGCAGTAAAAAGGCCTGAAGCTGAGCAAAATGTCCTTTTTGCTTTCTCAAACCAGAAGTGAAACACTTTAATCCTAGTGTAGAATAAAACAGAATACAAAAACACATAAAGCTGTCAGAAAAATAGAACTATCTTTTTCCAGCTAACTATACTGCTATATATAAATCCATCAGAGGGGAACAATGAACAAAAGACAATTCTGTTTCCTTAAGGATCATAATTTTTAACTCTGCAGTAGATGCTCTAAAATTACAGATCAAAAATAGAACATTTATAGAAAGATTTAGAAACTAAGAGAGAAATAACAGCAAATACAACAGGAAATACAACAAATAAGAAAAGGTTATTTCTCCAAGAACAGAGAATCATCTGGTCTTCCAATTACTTAGAAGGCAATGAATTTTAGATCAGATCCTGCTAACTGCTACATTTGTATCTCTTCCCAGTACTTTCTGGCTCAAATTAACACAACAGACTGTTCTTACTGATTCAAAATTATGTGTGGCAATAAATTCAGGAAAGTGAAACAAGTTTCATATTAAATATGAAATACTTAGAAAGTTCCTAAGGCTAAAATCCTGCTAAGGGATACCTTGTATCAGCCATAATGACCTGGAGACCCTGAATTAACAGAGCTCAGCCTTGTGATCTGCTCAATTAACACTCTTGGTACAAGGTTGGCATCTACTCAATTGATGAGATCTTTATGGACAGATGCCCTTATTAAAAGCATAGGAGTCACAGCTGTATCTCCAATCCACTTTTCATTAAGAGTAAAATTCCAGGGTCTTGATGGCAATGATCCATGTAGATGAACTTCTATTCATGTTCAAACTAGTGTTTGAATAAATATATATATATTTAATACACAGTTTACCTGTGAATATATATATATAGAGATATATATTCAAATATACAGTTTACCTGTCAGCTTTATTCAAAGAAAAGAAAGAAATGGCAAATTAGTTCCATTTTGGGTTTGGGTTTCTCGGGTTCTAAGGCATATGTATTCTGAGACACTTGAGCACTCTCCTGCTAATCATCTCTCCATTTCTCAGCCCACCATGCTTCCATTCCAGCATAGCCCAGCACTGCGCTCACGATTTCACTGCTGCACTGCCTAATTAACAGTTTTAAGAGCTCCTTCTTTCAAAAGCTGACACAACCATAGCAGAACAAGTAGAATATACTCAACATTTTACACCTCCAGTGTAATGTCAAACTTCAAGCTTAACACTAAAATCCTGAGGCTTGCACTGATCAAGTGAGTCAAAGGGCAAACACCAGCGCCTTTCTCCGGACAACTGCACTAAAGCAGCTTCAGCCCAGACAAAGCACCGCAGGAAGAGGATGGTAAGATTTACCAGAGCTGTTCACCACCACCACACAACTCAAAAGTTGAGTTCAGCATGTGCTGAAGTGATACAATTACACATGGCAAGGAAGCGGAGGTCTGGATTAGTTTTACACAGCCTACAGTGATCTATCTGCTTGTTTTAGACCAGATACCATTCGCCAACGCACCCCTAGATAACATGTATTAAATACTATCAAAGATAACTCAGTTCATACTGTAGGTAGGGCTTCTATGCAAAATCATAAATGCCCAAATGTATTTGAGCACCGTTAAGTTCTCCTTAAATTCAGCTGTCAACTTGGAACTATTCGGTAGGAATGTATTTATAGAAGGGTTTCTTATAGATCACCAAAGGTCAAATGCCATTAAGTGCTATCATCCATGTGTACATGCAGTACACATAAAAATGTCACTTCATTAAATTAGTGGATGACACAACTGGCAGAAAAGCAAATAATAAATATATATTAGCTTTACAAAGTAATCTGCATGATCTGAATGTGTCACAGAAATGCAACACAAAAACAGGTTTCTATAACCACTAATGTACTGTTACATGCCCAAAAAGTAACACTGTACCATATAAAGCTGTGACAATATCAAAATTTTTTTATCTTACCATAGGCAACTTAACAACAGGCTTTCAACAAGGTACAATGCGAGAAGGAGCACTCGGTCAATGCCTCAATGAGGTTGCAATAACCACATCCCTTTGTGCATGTCTTTGCTGACACCTATCATGGCACCGAGTACACAGTTCTATCATTCCTCTTTTCATCTCTTCATCAGACCAAAACCAGAAGAACCCCACCAAGTGCTGGCTGTGCATCTCATCTATGCTAATGAGTAGAAAGTCCTTCATGATCTTCTTTAATTCAGCAAAAAAAGAGTGTTATTAACCATGCCACATATTTTGGTCAGTTGATTGCTTTCTGGGATTTTTTTTTTTGCCTTCATAACTGCCTGTGACAACAAACTAAATGTAGAGGTCTCCATCTTGTAATGTCTCTGAACTGAGAATGCATAGGACTTCTTTTAAGATATGCTTTAATCAAACACAAATAATTATGCTCAACACAGACATTAATAACAAGTGTTAAGGCACACAAGATAGCAAAAATTACTGATAGAAAATGTATCAGTCTCTCTTGAGCCCAGAAGGGGGATGGGAGAAACATAATCAATCAATGTATTTGGCTTCATAGATTCTCTTGCTGAAGAAACAGATGGATGTGGTCAGCCATCCTGTGGTCAGGAAGGTACACAAAGAAAGTCTTTTCATTTAGAGCCACTGAATAAAATATCTCTTGATGACAGTGGAATTGCTATCTAGAGAAAGACAGCTTATTACCTCAGCTTCTCACGTCTTTCAAATTTACACCATGTGTTATAGATTAACAGCTACTTTTTCGCTTTTTACGGCTTCCCAAAAATAAAGCATGCACACAAAATACAGAATAGCAGCTGTTTATGACTTTTTACACTGTAAGGAAATGAATTCCATTTTGAATTCCATTCCACATTTTTAGTTTTGGTTATGTTATTTTTGGAGGATGAAATAGTGGCATTCCAGCTAGTCCTTTTAAGATGCTTTCCCTGACTCTCAGTTCATGTTGCTGTATTTCTACTTTTAACTGAAAACACATTTCCACTTTTGATAATTTACACTGAAAGTGAACTGTTTAGTAAATAGATCATTATTTCATACACCAATATGTAGAGTGCACAAGCTATGAAATTTGATTGATTAGCATTATATTTTACTTGCTGCTAGCTTTTTAAACAATACTTACAGAGTGCAGAGAACAGTGATGACCTTTACTATAAAAACTATGCATTTATAATCCAGCTAACACTCTCCCATGGTTTGTTTTCTCAATGTATAATCCAGCTAACACTCTCCCATGGTTTGTTTTCTCAATGTATTACACGAAGCAGTCTACATTGCTAGCATATAAAACAAACAAACAAAAAAATCAAGTTCTAAGCAGCCCAGTCTCAATTTTGTAGCTAGGATTTCTCTTCAGAAACATAAACATATTTTACTGCATTCAATCTATGTCCAAGGCATGGGAGGTGAGAGAATAGAAAAATCATGCTGTTGAGTATAAAAGCAGAGTGTGAAAAAGTCTACTGGGGTTAAGTATTAACCCGATGCATTTTTCAGAACGACTGTACTATTTTTAACTGTTCGTTTTTGGCCACAGGTCAAAGTTTTCCTAGCAAAATACCAAAGTGAAAATGCTGGGAGCGAAGCCCAGAGGCAGCTCTCTTTGCTATGGCCTAAGCAAAAACTTATCTGAATCCAGTCAGATATGTAACACTATTTCCCACTCCCCTCCATTGACTATGGGTGTCATTATGCCTCTGAACATCTGAGGAGTAACACAGCACCACAGCCTCAGGAAGAACATTTTTCAGATGTTATAGGAAATTCCTATATTCTCCACACAGCACAGGCATACATTCTGTTCAGTCAGTTCCTGTAGTTTTGGCCAAACAGAACTGAGTCATTTGAAAGCACAAAAAAAGACACAGTGTAAGTGCAGCTCTTGGAAGGACTAGGATGTATTCCCCCTTTTTCTGCTCCTCATAACTGGGACACATTGGAAATCTTGTGGTGGACTGGAAATATAAGTTTTGAGGACCCTAAAGTTCAGTTAAAATACTAATAAATATAATACTAATAATGATAACAACATTGATAGCAGTAACGATAATAATCTGTCTCTTTCTATAGTTCAGATGGTTAAATGGAGAAATCTAACCTCTTCCACACTTCTTCCCGAGGGCACAGATTACTCACTGAAATAAACTGTATTTCATACACTCACACGGAAAAATAATATTTGAAAGAGGACAGAGACGAATCAATTTGCCCCAGTGAAAAATAAATGTGACCCTACTGGACCCCTCAGCTACATTTCTCCCTTAGGCGTGTCGCCTTTTCCTGAATTATTTCCACATCACACAGCAACCTCAGCTTCACCAGGGCACGTTTCACAGGGGATGAGCGCTGGGTGCCCGGCAGCGCACACAAAGGCAGGTACTTCGGGGACGGACACACTGTGATTACGAGGCGCAAAAGCGAACGGTGTGAACGATGCTGGGAGGGAAAACAGGCACCTTCCTCTCCCTGGATCGAATCGCACCAGGGACGTTTCTCACTTTCTCCCAAATAAGATGCAGCTAATCGGAGAGCGCTTGCTCTCCTCTCACAGCGCCGTGCCCGTCCCCTCGCTCAGTGCAGCCCTGGGGGCGAGGGCCGCTCCCGCCACCTCCCCGCTGCCGGTGGCCTGGCCGGGGGCGTGGAGACGATCCTTCGTCCTCCCCCAGGAAAGCACTTTCAGGACGCGGGAGCCCTTTCCTTCCTTCCCGTTCCCTCCCGCTCGCCCGAGGCGAGGGCAGCGCTCCCTTTGTTCCCCCGCCGAGCGCTCCCCCCGGGCGCGGCCGCCCCTCACCAGCAGGCTCTCCACGTTGACCGGGGAGCGCGGGTCGCGGATCATGGACTCCAGCTTCCTCTGGCGGCCCTCGAGCATCCCCGCCGCCGGCTCCAGCGCCTCGGCCGCCAGGGGAGCCGCCGACATCTTCCCCGCCGGCTGCTGGCTCATCCTCCGGCCCGCCTAGTGCCGGNCAAGGCCCCGCTGCGAGCGGGGCATTGTTCGGCGCTCGCTCGGCGCCCGGCTGCAGCCCTGCGCCCGGCGGGGCCGTGCCGGGCCTGGGCAAGGCAGCCGCTCAGAGACAGGGCTGTGTGCGTTTTGGCACATGAGACCTCACCCTGCCCCCATGGCGTCAAACACACGGGAAAAAAAATGAAAAACATTTGAGAAGGTGGGCGAGCAGCGTTTCAGATAGAGCAGCAGTTCTCACGGCATGAATCAGGGATTTATGGAATGGTTGCAGTTCAAAAGGACCTAAAATATCATGTAATTCCAAGCCCCCTGCCATGGGCAGTGACACCTTTCACTCAGCCAGACTGATCAGAGATCCATCCAGCCTGGCCGTCCCACGTCGGGGCTGGAGCATCCACAATTTTCGTGGGCAATGTATTCCAGTGCCTCACCACCCCCGTGGTAAAGATTCCCCACCCCCCTGTATCTAATCTAAACCTACACTCCTTGAATTTGAAACTATTTCCCCTTGTTTTGTCTCTACTTGCTCTTGTCAATAGTCTTACCCTAGCCTTTCTATAAGTTCTCTTCAGGTATTTAAAGGCCCCACAATAAGATCACCCCAAAGCCTTCTCCTTTCCAGGCCCAACGATGCAAATTCTCTCATAGGAGAGGTACTCCATCCCTCTCCTGTGTGTATATCCTACATGTATGAGAGGGGGGATGGAGAACCAGGCAGTGAGGAGCTGTACTGGGGAAGGCGCAGGCCAGCCTCATGGGCCCTGAGGAAGGTGAGCTTCCACACTGTGCTGGAGATGGATACAGCCACCTTGCCACACTCGCTGGCCCTTTGAGGAGACAGGATGCTGTTTATCACACCCAGGCAAGAGAGGCTACAGCAGGGAGGGTGTCCCTGATGAGCTGTGGCTGCAGGGATGGAGGTGGGGAGCTGGATGGTGGGGATGCCCCATGGAATGCCATATGAGGTTGTGGCCAAACAGACCTGAGATGTGGTTGCTGGGCAGAACAACAGAGACTGTGGAAGTGTCATTTGCTCAGGTGGCGGGACCTCAGGGAGGAAAGGTTAACATTTTACTGTGTTGACTTTCAGCTGATAGCTGGATGGCAGTGAACTGATGTCAGAAAAGTGGCCCAATATTTTAACTTTAAAGGAAGACGAGTCAGAGAAGTAAATATGTGAGTCACTTGCATGGCTTTGAACGAGATCACTCTCAGTGACATTCTGAGTCAGGGCCCTGATGCTGAACAACTCCCAACTTGAGGGAAGGTCTGCTCTGAATATCCACCCAAACCCCATAACTGGATTCTGCTTTTACAGTCTACTGAATAAAAATCCTCAAACCTGAGAGAAACATGCACACACATGAATATTTTGAAGAGTCAAATTGGGCGTTATCACTCACGCTTTACAGTGAACCACATTGAGCTTGTGAGTTTCCTGAAGGAATTGGTGAAATCTGTTTGGGAGAGGCACTGATTATTTATATCTTAGGACTACTTCATCTAAAAAATAGATTAGGATCTGCTTAACTGCAGCACCACCTTCAAAAAAAAAAAAAATCACATCATCTCCTTGAGCAGTTTACTTTGCTAGAAGATAAAAGAAGTAAGTGTGACAATGAGTTTGGTTGCTACTAGGATTATATGTGGGTACGAGCTGGATCATGAAGTTACAAAGCCTTGCAAAACAACAGTTCAAAACTCTAAATTACCTAAAATAAACATGATTTCTTCATTTATAGATTATTCATTGCCTACTTTTTATAAGTGGCACAACAAAACAAATCCTTTAAAAAGCAATGTTTTGGCTTTTTTAAAGGATTTAAAATAGGTTTGGACAACAGACCAAACATGAGAAGTGTGTCTCTAGTGATCCATAAGGAGCTTGTGCTAAGTTCTGTTACTGTAAACAGCAATTTTGGGGGTGATTTCAATAAGCTCGGAACTGGGCACCAGGTAATGTGATGATCTAAGCTTTTAGTTTCCTCTTGGCTATAGGCAAGGTGCTTCTCTTCAGTTTTTTTAATCTATAAGCTTTATAAAAACTGATCTTTAGCTTATGTGATTTAATGACGTTTAGGGTGGTCTCTAAACAAAGGTAACAAAGAAAATCTTAAATAAGCATAACAGTCCTTTTTATATAGGAAAAAAATGTGTGATTGTGACTTCAAAAGCAAGTGTGTGGAAACAGTGCCTTCTTGAAATTCTTGCCCAATAGATCTAGTCTTCCACCCTTTGGGACATATCTGTTTACTGACTAAACAAGTTTTACTCTATTATAGGGACAAATTGACAATGGTAGTCAGCTGAATTCCTTTGTACGGCACCAATCCTCAACAAAATCAGCAGCATAAGATTTATTGCTGGTTATAAGTGGCTAAGTGACAAAAATAGTACTCAGAAAGTCAGATCCCTATCTCAGTGTTTGCAAAAAAACTGTTTTAACATGCCCTAGAGGAAAAATAACACCACCTTCTGTGGTCTTTTTACAGTTCTACCTTTTCTGTCTTTAGTGGTGTAAATCTCTCAGGGTGTCACCTATTCCTTCAATGACCATCTAAGGAAGAACTGTTCCTACTCACTCTGTGTATGCTAGTTTTGAAGTCCCATGCAGTGAAATGTCAAATGCTATTTACCATGTTTTGTAAGGCAAAGTCCAAGCCTTCCAGCATACCTGCTGTAGCTTTAAGTCTGAGTCCACTGTTGGATGGTTCATCTGTCTGTCTGCTCCCTAAAATGCTGCTGAACTCTTTAGTTATATGCAGTCCAAATATGCTTTAGGTGTCCTGAGGCAGTAGGGAATTTGCTGTTGACCATTTTGGCTACATTTATACGAGCAGATTTGTAAGAAGCTGGTAAATGTGGCTTATTAGTTGAAAGTCATCAGCTTCAGGTTGTTCTGTTAGGGTATTCCATAGGGCTTAAGCCTGTTCAGGGAAAAGAGGGATTTAGCTTTGAACCTCCAGCATGCTTTCACTACTATTGCAAAAGAAGCAAAAAGAGACAAACTACCCGTGTGCACATTTGTTTTAGGAGAAGGGGCTGTGCTTTTAGGACTTGCTGCTTGCTAAGTAAGGCTTTTGCAAATCCTCTTTTCAGGCTCCCACTCTGCAAATGTTTGAAGAACATAAGAGCATTGCTGACAGGGGAGTTGATTCTCCTAATAGCTAGGGTCTCTAAAATTTAGGTTTAGCATCTTGTGGATCTAGTCCATTTTAGTGTTTTGCATATGGGAGAACAGATAGAAGAGCTAAATGAGTTGCCAGTGATACCATGGAGTATCTCTGTCCAGTGACATGAATTGACTCTATCCCAAATAAAAATCAAATTGTGACAACAGAGTAAGAAAGACAAAACACTTGTTAATAGTCCAAGCAAATACAGTCTTTGAAAGCTGCCAAAATTAAACCATGTCAGACTGCTACAGGCAAAGGCGCATAACTAACGTCACTCAGGATGCTGCACTGATGTGGATCAGAGTTGTTGTGATGGAAATAGGACAGAAATAATTTTTTAGATAATGAGGCCTTGAGACTTTGGAGGGTGTAGCTAATCATCATTCTACCTCCAGAAAATAATGTAGATTTATGCCATTGGTAAAGGAGTTTCTTTACTTTTAGATTCATAAATACAAAATAGGGGTGAAAAGGAGTATAAGTTTATTGTGGGTTTTGTTTTTTTTATTTTCCTTTCTCACATGCTAGTGAGAAATCCGCCTAAGGGTTAATAAATTATTTTTTCTGGATTAAAAATAAACTTCTTCATTTTGGGTAAATGAAGAGACAGAAAGAAACAATACAATTTGTGTATATAGGAGTTATGTTTTTGAAGGACTTGCAAAGTCAGCCACAATCTTTATCACTGATATACTGATTCCAGTGTTGTCTTGGGACAAATAGTACAGTTATGTAAAGTCCACAAAAAAAAACAACCAACATTGTTTAACATTCTTTCATTTAATTCATCTCTTGCATTGTAACTAGAGGCTTTAAATACAAGCAGCCTTTCAAACACCATGCATTTCCAAACCAGCCTCAGTAAGACTGACACTACCACATCAATTGCTAGCACAGGCCAGCTATAAAATTACAAAACCACTCAGCCATCTGTATAATTAAATCCAAACCAAAGTAATCAAGCAAATGTTAAAGAAAATGTCTTCATCTGGTAAGCTTTGTAGGTAAAGGCCTATATCTACTATTCTGCTTTGGAAGGGATGTACCTTTGTCTCTGAAGGTGTGCCAGGTAGCTGCTTCCCATTTTTTCAAACAGCATATATAGCTGATAAATACAGAACTTTTAGTTGGTACTGTCTTTTGCTGTCTTAAAGTCAGTATCTTAAGCACAAATACCAGAGAACCAAGAAAAGGAGGTGTGAATCAAAAGTGGCTGCATAATGCCTGGGTGTGTCTGATAACGCAGGACTTGGTCTCTGCCTGACTCTTAATTGCTTACATAATTCTCCCCAGCTAAAAAACATTGCTTGTGTTAATAAGGTAGTTTCATAGTTTCTTGGATGCATTGGGAAGACAGAAGTGAAGCTGTGAATCTAGGTTAATTGAAATGCTTATGTGATGGTGATGTGCCAGATTCTCTGCTCTAAGTCTCAGGAGAAAACTTGAAGTAAGTGTAGCTTGAAGAGTAAGGACAAAGTGACCTCAAGTTTTCCTTTGCTGCTTTGTGCGTTTAGGTGAAGCTTAGGGCTCTGTGGCACATAGGTGTAAGTCACAGCAGTTTGAAAGACTGCTGTGATTTATGAAATCCTTGCTGTTATGCTGTCAGTAGGCTTACAGTATACCTCACAGTACCTTGGAGCAGAGGAGGGTTTCTACTACACTTCTTTCTGCTGTGAGCATAATCTCCAACACTTCCCTCACATGACACATCGTAAAGGTTGAAATACTGGAAATATGCAGGAGTAAAACGCTGCTGGTCCTTTGGAAGTGCTGGCCAGAACTTCTCAAAGCTGTCTCTGCCTCCTTT